CGCAGTGGCAGCCGCAGCAGGTATCAATGGGAGATAATGATTAAAAGTTAACCCCATCAATTTCCCATCAAGCAAAACGTTTTACTCAGAGCATTACAGGAAATGTCGGGTTTTAAATAATGTGTTTAAACTGGCAAATAAATAAAGCCAAGCCCATGCAATGAAGAGGAAAAATCTGGAACAGAGTTCTGAGGCTGAGGTTACACTGGGCTCCACCTTCCCTTGCCTGCTGCTGCCTGGGGCTCTGGCTAGCACTGCCCAGCAAGGGTTTGCTCAGCTACAGTCACCTTCTAGATCCTCTCTCCTACTTCCCAGTGGGTCTTTGCAGAGGGAGCACAACTGACCTCCCCCTGTAGAATACAAAGCACTGTACTCCACCCATCTTCCAGGACTCTCATAATGACTTCTCTTAAAGAAACATCAATCTAAAATCCGTGGTGCATTTCAATATACCAGCTGGAGAGCCCCCAAATTATTTTTCTTCCTCAATTTTACTTGCCATGGAAATAGACATTTGAAGTGTCACTATGAGGAGAGGGCCTGTCTCCTCTTCTGGCCTCTTGAGAGTTTTGCTACTCCCCCAGACACATTCTGTGTCCTTTGTGTTGCTCAGTCAAAGGAGAGCCAGACTCACTATATATTGGGGGATAGGATAGCACGACTGATGTAAATTTGTTTTCCTGCAAATGCTTTGGAAGGTGCAGTCGGTTGAGTGGATTACACTCCCCTTACCCAATCCCCCCCTCACCAAGCCAAAAAATACCTTCCATTGTGAATCTTGGTTCCCTTCTGACCTCCATGACCACCCCCAACACCCCCTGCCAAGAGAAGTGGTTTCAATAAATAAAGCCCTGTGATGGGGTTGAAGGTCAGTTTACACTGGGGCTGGAACTTCTAAAACCCCTGCAGGTGCTGGAATGGGGATAAAGCAGGTCCCCCTCATAAGAGACAGAAGAACTGAGGACAGAGGCGATTCAGAGTCTGAGGAGCCTGTGTGAGGATGCATTCCAGATCTGAGCACCCCGTGACTATCCCAAGTCTGCAGGGATGGGATGCTCAGGCAGTACTCTCCTCCTCCAAACGGGGATCTTGGTGGCACAGCCTGGATTTGGCAGTGTCTAGGAGGGAGCAACGCCTGAGGGACTGGCGTGAGAGAGCCTGACCTGTTCCTGTGCCAGAAAGGAAGGACCACTGTGAACCTGGGAGGGATCAACTGTTGCATCTGTTGTGGGTGGAGTAGAGTGAAGAAAACCATCTCTATGGAAAGGGCAGGTGCTGGCAGTATTGGTCCCTGAAGCTTTCCTTCCTCCCTGCTGAATGTTTAGCTTTGTGGTCCACATAAATCCGGGCAAAATGCTTCCTGCTTTTCACTGTCACAACCTTCAAAGTTGGTTCGCTGCAGCAAGAGAGAGTTGAAGGGTTGGAGTCAGATGTGAATCTCAGTGTAGATTCTGCAGGAGACCGGCTCCCTGTGAGCCTCCTGCTTTCCTCAACATCAAAACCAGTGTATTAGACTTCATCTCATGCTAGGTGACAGCACAGCACACTGGCCACAAAAGGTTGGGAGAGAGCTTCACAGAGTACACAGGCAGGATGGGATGCTGGGATTCAGATTCGAGGCAGGTGATGTGGGCTTACCATGTGGGTGTGCCTCTCTTTCTCATTCCAAGGATTCTGCTTGCGATGACCAGCCTGGACTGTCCCTGCTGGCCACTCCAGTGGTATTCTTGTGCAGGGACAGGGGAGTCTCCTGAATCTTACCTTGAACTCCCTCTCTCTCAGGTTGCCAGGGACCTTCTGGGGGAAAGATGCTGAAGGTATGAAGATATGATGAAAGGTCATGTATCTCTGACTCTGGTGTGCAGAACCCAACTAGGCAAGAGGAACACATTTCCCGTTCTCTACACTCCCATTCGGAAAGGGGTATATATTTCTCAAGAGTCATGCTCTAGCTACCCTGGGTTCTAAAGGTTGTTGTCCCAGCCTAGGATCAATGACAGATGTAAGGAGTGTCAGCCTGTCAGCCTCCTGTGCTCTCAGGATCCCCTGGGCTGTTGTAAGCCCTGGAGAAAGCCTGATTGGACCTTAGATTCAGGGGCCACCCCTAAAGGAGAAGAGGCTATGGAAGAGAAGTATTGTTGGGCCTACTTAGGGCTCTCCCAGTACCTGAATTTAGGGAGAACGGAGATGAGCATGGCATTGATTATTTCCTGTTACTTTTTAGTTCATTCCTCTTCCCTTCCCATGGGCAGAGTTAGAAGGAACCATTTACTATTCATCTAGAGAAGTATCACTTAAACATTTTCTAAAATCCCCCAAACTCAAGATGTCATTATAGCAAGGTGTCTCTATTTGCTGTCTTTGAGACTATTTGATTTAAATTTCCTTAAAAAAAGAAAAAGGTTTCTTTCTAGGAATGTAAGTCCATCTGAAATGAAGCAGGAATACTGGACTCATGGTGGATCCTTCAAATACTAAAGATTATAAATATTACCTTGTGTGTACCAAAGGCTTAGTGGAGTCCTAAAGCTTAATTAAGAAAAACAATACAGTGTGTGGAAAGAACAAATCACAAGAGGGTATCCTCAGGCATAGATCCATCTGCTGGGTGAAGATTCATGAATGATTAACCCCTCCTACTGAGGGAATTTGGGAGGTCTGGAGTTCACTTGTGGATGGAGGGACTTTCATGAATAATGTCTCACAAATTTCAGGCAGTGCTTGGGTGGGCTAAGTGGGCACTGTGCTCTGTGTGCAAGCTGTCCTCAGTTTTTGACTTCTCCTAGACTGAGCAATCAGAATAGGGATGGATAAATATGTCCATCGCTGGAGAACAGGAAAACAGACCATCTTCAAAGTTTGTGAATTTTTCTTGGGTTGGCCCTGGGGGAGGCGGGTACAGGAAAGTGGACTCGGACACCGAAGAAGTCTCAGGCAGTGATCTCTGGCTAAATGCAGCTTCTGTTTTTACAGCTTACTCGGGGAGAGCTGTTAGTTTTTCTAAGCACAAACCGGGCATTTGTGCTCTAAGCTCAGTGTTTAGGCTACAAAGCCAGTACAACTGTCTTACATACCTACCTTCAGAAAAAGAATGGTTCTGACCTCAACTCAGCACAATCTCAAATGCATTACCATGCTTGGAACCCATCTAAGCAAAGCTCTTTGGAGGGCTGAAATGTAAGTGGAATGTTAAATGTCAACCCCTACCTCCAAGAAAAATAAATCCGTAATTCTCAGCCAAGTACACCTGCTTACTTGTATCTTTTCTTTTCAATGGGTCGCTTTACTCCGAGTTTTCTTTCTGCTCTGTGCTTGCTATTTTTATCTTACCTAAGGATACTGAGATCAGACTCGGCGCCAGACTTCTGAGACACCCTGGGGAAGAGATGGCTGGTTTCCTGAGGTCTGTCACTGAACTCTACAAGCTTAGTTGTTAGAACCACCTCAGAGTTCAGGGTCTGGGGAAAGACTGGCATATGAGGTCACCACAGGGTAAGAGTGGTGACCAATGTTGCTGGAGAAGGCTGTAGGGAGTCAATGCTGGTGGACCATAGGGTGGGGAAATTGCCTCACAGCATATACATTTCCATGGGGGTAATAACAGTACAGGAAACAGTACAGGTATGTGCATCATACCCACAGGAGTCAGAAGACATCAGAACCCCAGAGCCTGAAGTTATGGATAGTTGTAAACCAGTATGTGGGGGTACAGGTTTTCTGCAAGAACAAGTGCTTTTAACTGCTGAGCCATCTCTTTAGTCCCAATGATATTAACTTTAAGGCAATATTTTTGGTTACCAATGATCAAAACATAGCAATCACGATGGCTTACAGTTTTAGATGCATGGAGAGCTGTAGCTAATAGAAAGGGTGAGACAGGAGGCTTACTTGAGCTTATGAGTTGAGTTCAAGCCAGTCTGGGCAACTAGAAAAGTCTATCAGAAAAATAAGCAGCAAACCAAAAAGAAAAAAAACTTCAACATTTAAATTTTTCTGCATGACATTTTTGGGTTAGAAGATACTTAAGTAGTCAGGACCCTAAGGTATGTTGTTCCCTGACATCTAGCAGGGTGTTGCTAAAAATTTCTGGGTGATCCTGTTTTCTTACACACCCTGCAGGTAGTCTGTATTTGTTACTTTCCTTGTTATTGTGATAAAAGTCCTGATGAGAGGCAATTTAAGGAAGAAAGGAAAGGAGGAAGAAAGGGAGGGAGGGATTGCCAGAGAGAGAGAGAGAGGGGAAGGGAGGGAAGGAGGGAATCAATCCTCTATCTCACAATTTGGTGCATTCTATGGTAGGGAAGACTTGACATCAGAAGGCATTGTGGCAGGAGGAGGCTGACTGTTCACATTGCCCTGCAGTCCAGAATTATGTCACCTACAGTCAACCTAATCTAGATGATCTTCTACAGGCACGTCTAGAGGCCTTCTTCCTTGGTGATTCTAGATCCTGTGATGTTGATGAACAACAGTACCCTTTACACACTCCATTACTAACTGAAATTTGGGTGGTAAAAGTTGCAACCATTGTTTTAATTTCTATTTCTCTGTTTATTAGTGGGTAGAACGGTATTTCTTCATTGTGGAATGGCCTGTTCACACCATTTTTAGCTTTGAAAAAACTCATGACTCCATCTATTCTCATCTACAGGATTATTTCTGATGCTGGAAATTGACCCTAGGAAATTGTACATGCTAGATATTGCTCTGTCACTGAGCTACACTTCAGTTTTGTGATTTCATGTTTATTGTAAGTGTTATAGATTTTCACCAGGTTCTTAACGGCATCATATTTTGTTTATTTTAACTTCATAGAATTTGAATTCCATGACTTCTGTGGTTGAATACTTATAAGCCTTCACTATACAAATCAAAAATTTCTTATGCTGTTTGAATTCCTTTTGTACAGAATATGAAGTAAAGACATACCTTTATTTTTCAAATCTCTGAACCCTTGGGCAGGCTCTAATTATGAAAAACTTTGAATTCTCTACCCAAAGAACAGATTTGGACATCATTCTGTTGCAACACTTGAGAAGTATGGATACTGAGATGTTATAATGAGTCTACCAAGACTTCCCGTATGTGAACCAGGCATGGTTCTACATGCAGACAACAAAAGAACAAGCAGGTAGACTCTGGTGAGTAACAAGAATTTGGTTATATCATGGAATTTCAATGCCTGCTCGAGCAATTTGATTTTGCTCTTCTGAGTCAAATTCCCTATCTTTAAGATAATCCCACAATTATTAGCATTTTAGTATGAAGCTCTGCAGAATGAATATGAAATGGCTTTAGACTTTAGATCAATAACTAACATCACCATGGTGGTTTAAATGAGGCTGGTCCCCATAGGCTCATATATTTGAATGCTTGGTTCCCTGGTTGGTAGAATTGTTTTGGGAAAGATTAGGAGGTATGGCCTTGTTGGAGAAGCTGTGTTACTGCTTTGAGGTTCCAAAAGTCCCCAGTCTCTCTGCCTCTGTCTCTGCCTCTCTCTTTCCTCCAACATGTGGATAAGACACAAGCTGTTTCTGGGTTCCCACAGTTGTACAGGATAGAGTATTCTTCTGTCCCAAGAATCTGGACAACTTCATGTTATCTCCTTCCAGTGTCTGGAGCCTCATAGAGGATCTTCAGAAGCGATCGTCTGTGATGACTCTGAAGTCGTCGAGTATTTGCCATGGGTGACTTGGTGAAAGCAGAATGGTAAAATACATTTGGGAGTCTAAGTGCCAGGTACTAAATAAAGCACTCCAATTTACACTGTGTTAAATAGATTTTTCTTCCTTTAAAAGTAAGTGAGGAAAGAGAACGCAATAGCTTACTTATCACACTCACAAAATCCAAATAGCTACCAACTAGATTAAAAGCAGAACATTGCAAACCCACCTCTCTCCGAGACTCCCCAAGGTACTTATCTGACATCACTTTCCCTCTCCCAAGATGACTACTGTCTTAGTTAAGGTTTCTGTTGCTTTGATGAAGCACTATGGCCAAAGCAACTTGGGGGAGGAAAGGGTTTATTTTGGTTTACTCTTCCATATCATTGTTCATTGCAGAAAGAAAGGAAGTCAGGACAGGAACTTAACAGGGTAGGAACCCAGAGGCAGGAACTGATGCACAGGCCATGGAGGGGTGCTGCTTACTGGCCTGCTCATCATGGCTTGTTCAGCCTTTCTTATAGAACCCAGGACCACCAACCCTGGGGCCACCCTCCCCGATTAAATCATTTTCAATTAAAGAAATGCACTATAGGTTTGCCTGCAGCCAGCAGTATCTCTTGGAGGCACTTAACTGGAGCCTCCCTATTCTCCAGTGACTCTAGCTTGTGACAAGTTGACATAAAACTAGGCAGCACAACTACTATGTGGACTTCTGTGGGGAGCACTTTTGTGTTTATTTGTAATAGATAAGCTGAGTGTATATCTATAAGTGTCAGTTTATGCTCATCTGGGATTTGAACCCTATAGTATGGACTCAGACAACACGGGCCACTCTGAATCTAGCTTCTTTGACCAGCATTGCAGGTGTGAGAGATTGCTGTGTTGCTGTTTCCAAAAATGAAGCTTGGTTCATTTCCTTGGTATAAGCTGTTGTGTCTTATGATTACACATTTTGTGAATTTTGCTTTTGATAAACATTTGGGTGTTTTCAATTTTTAGCCACATAGACAAAATGGCTAGACTTAAAAAACTCCAAATGTAAATGTTTACGATTTGCATTCTATATGTTTTTTTGAAGTTACTATCAGAGCTACAGGATATTAAGTATGTGTACCTCCAACTTTAGCAGATAAGGCCAATCACTGCGTCTTTGATCACACCAGTTAACATTGAATATTGCTAATTTAGGAGTTTTCTGTGAGTTCCAGAAACTTGGATCAGACTCAGAGTTCTAGTGTCTTTAGAGTTGGGCTCATGGTGGGCAACATGGCAGCAAACTGACAGGTAACATAGACAGACTCCTTTAAAAACAATGGTAGTGTGTCTGAAGACAGAAGGGGTTTAAATGGTTCGTTAAGCGGGTGGTTGGCCACTCTGGGAAAAGCAACTGTTGTAGGTGATGTCTGACCTTGTAGCCTTTGGGATCCATGTCCACTACCCATTGAACTGAGACCTCTCATGCAGGCTTTAAGCTTCTGGGGCAAGGACCTGGAGCTGGTTTCTAGAATCTACCATGGTAGGGGTTGGAGCATGCGCAAAGCTCAGGTGCTGAATCCACGAGGCAATGCTTGTTGCTGGGCAACAAGGGAGCCGGTCCTTTCTTCCCTATTTAGCTGGCAGAGCCTGCCTGAGCCTTGTGTCCCAGTGGTCTGTGGGACATCTGGCCTGTCACCATCAGCTGGGACTGAGCCTCCTGAACCACCCAGGTGAGCGGAGGCTGTGGACCTGGGTGCAGATAATTTCCTTTGGACTCTGGAGAGGCTGTGACGATTTGGCTAAGCCAGTGTTCTTGCTCTCTCATCTGCTTTGGTAGAGTCCAACTTCACAAAAGTCAGCTTCCAATACAGGGCTGACACTGAGAAGTGATTAGGACTGGAGTAGGCACTGGGCTTCTGTAGGCTGTACGTTAGAGCTAAAGGGAAACTTTTCATGGCAAGGGAGCACGGGCAGAAGAGGAGTTAAGGTGAAAACCGCCAGGGAAGCAGGTAGATCGAACTTTGTGGAACTGAGAAAAAAGTGGTGTAGATGGCAAATGGGGAAAGCTAACCGTGGAGGCAATTAATGTCGTCACTGATCATTTCTGTCGCCCTGAGTGGAGGCAGGGAGGAGGAGCAGCTTGATTTGGACAAGCCTTAACAACCATTAGGTGAGAACTCCCAATGGAGTCTATCTAATTTCAGAATAGAGAGCTGTTTTTAGTACGTTTAAGAGTAAATGAGGTATACAAGCTTACCGCAAGGGTTGTTTGCTATAGAAGACCGCAAATACAATGAATCCTTTTGCAGACTTGTGGTAGAAGAATTTAGAAGGTGATAGGTTTTTTTTTTAATCCTCAAATATAAATGTTTACAACTTGCTCTTTTCTCATTTACAACTTTAAACACTAGTAGGGTTATTGGCAGAAAACTACACAAGCGTACACTGCAAAAGCCACACAGGTCTACAGTTGGAGTAATTTTGACAGATAGTCACACCTTTGAAACAATTGTTTCAATCATGGTGACTGAATTGCTTTTTTCTGTTCACCCTGCTAACCACACCTGCTCTTGTCTCTTTCCCTCCAAGCAGCCACTGACAATGCATTGTGACAATGGAGAAGCAGCTGTGTGTGGTTTTCAGTTTTCAGTAGATAGTATATATACTTTTGTGAGCACCTTCATTTACTCAGGATGCTGACCTGCCAGGACCCTTTGCTTCATTATAGTAGCTTACTGTAGTACTGTGAGTTTTGTTTCTTTGTGTTTGCCTTTAAGACAGGGTCTCACCTTGTAGGCTGGACTAACCTGATTGCCATCTCGTTTTTGTCTCCCAAGGGCTGGCTCTACAGGCATGCTCCATCATGCTTGGTCCTGTAGTAAGTTTTGAAACTGGATACTCTAAATTGTCTAGATTTGTTTTTCCTTTTTGAAAATTATTTTGATGATTTTAGGGCATTTGAAAATATTTTAGAATTAGGTTGTTCTTTCTGTTAAAAAATGTCTGCTGGGGATTTTTTCAGTCCATAGACAAGAAGCCAATGTAGTCTGCTACAATCTCCAGAGAACATACAGGAGAAAGTTGGTAACAGCTATCAGAATAGATGGGTGACAGCCAAATATCTCCAGATTAATATCAAAGCAAGATAGAAAATGTTGTAGAGCAAAAAAGAAAAAAAATCTGGAGTCCGTCTTGGAGGGGTCAGTGTGGTCTCAGGAGTTCTCCATTCCTAGAGACAGCATGTGACCAGGTGACAGAGCCTTGGCATAGGATAGACGGTTTCAGAAATTCTGTACTCTGCTTTCAGTAACAGACATTTCAAAGAGAAGGAAAAAGAAAAAGAGGGGAAGGGAAGACAAGACAATTTGGAAAAACTTTCTTCCCAGCATTCTACCTGAGCGGCAGTGAGGTGTCATTGAAAAACCAATGAACATGTGAACACATGGAGCCATCGTGGGCACTGTTTTAAAATGACCCCTGCTGGTACCAGGCACCCAGTGAGCCGTACTCTTAGGAAACTCAGAGCAAGTTCCATGACTATATGCTAAAAACGGGCCAGAACACCTCTCAGTTATGGGGAAGAGACTTCATACCAGAATCGTGAAGTGTTCAGTGAGGGGAATCTTTGGGGGACATAGACACAGGTTCCTGGTAGTGCATCTGACACCAGTAAGGATTGCCCAGTGGGTAGGACGAGCACTTGAAGCCTGTAAAGAAAGAGGGCCAGCATGTGTGACTCAGCCTTGCAAAGGGCCGCCTTGTATGGAGAGCAGCATTCACAACCCATTATCTTTTTTTTTTTGCATTTTTATTTTAATTTTAAATAGTTTGTTTTACATGTCAATCCCAGTTCTCTCTCCCTCCCCTCCTCCCGCACCTCCCCACTATCCCCCCATCCTCCACCCTATTGCCAATTCCTTCCACATAGGGGATATCTGGAGTCTGTCATTTCACTCAGGGTAGGGTCCAGACACTCCTCTAAGAGTCCAGGCAGAGAGAGTAACCCTCTTTGTGTTATGGACACGCGATGTCTGTTAGTATTCGAGGGATAAACACTGATCCACTACTCAGGACCCCATAGGTAGCCCAGGCCTCCTCACTGACTCTCACATTCAGGGGGTCTGGATCACAACCCAGTATCTTGAAGGACACCCATGAAACATCTGTGCAAAAGACTGCCCAGGGGTGTGACAGGCATTCGGGAGCCATGGCAGGAACAGGAAGGCGAGGCTGGGACGGTGAGGAGACTGAGTGTTGAGACCATGTACCCGGCTCTCTCCACTTCACATTTATACATCTTCTGCTTAATATCCATTGTCAGCTGTACTGGCCGGCTCTGCCCTGTCCTATTCTCATTACCCCGTCTTTCCTCTTTACTTTTCACTAGTCTTTCTTTCCTTTTGTGCTTCCTTTGATAAGTGTTTCCCCAGAAGATGAGCTGGCCTAGTCTGTGGGGCTGAGGCTTCTCAGCCTTGGCAGAGCTGGGGTTGTTTTAGGCTGTCTGACTGCTCTGCCTCACCTCCCAGTCACTATCCAACCTTTGGCCACAGTGACCTCATCTCTCTCTCTGTTGTCTCCACCTTCTGTTTACTTCCCCTAGTCTCTGCTCACCGGGCCCTCTTTTTTCCTTCACACTCCTGTCTCTCCTCCTTCACTTCTTAAATGTTGAGAGCCTAAGAGGGGGTTGCTTTTATTTGACTAACACCGTGACTTTTGAAAGTATTCCACTTCTAGGGGAGTGCTAGGTGTTGGGACTGATGTCCTGAACATGGGTGTGGCAGAGAAGGATGATGCCTCAACCTTACTACAACATAATCTGTCTTGAACATTGCAACCAGTTTCACTAAAATAATTATAATTAAAAAAAAGCATCCAATGGTCAACTCTAGGTGTGCAAGTCTCAACACGAAACCACAAGCAACATGAAAAAAAAGTGTAACATGGTTGCTCCAGAAATTACCAATCCCACTAATGGTCTCCTGATGAAAGAAAATTAGATGACACCCCAGACAAGGAATTCAAGAGAATGATTACAAATTATGTTCAAAGAACTGAAAAAGGACACAAACCCCTGGATAAATCCCAAGATAGCAGATAAAGCTGAATGAAATAGGAAGTCAATATAGGATAGGAAAGAATTCAATAAAGATACAGAAATAGTAAAACAAACTGGAAATGAAAAATTCAAGAAGTTAAATAGGAAGCACTGTGGAAAGATTCACCAATAGGATGGATCTATGGGAAGACACACTGTCAGGGCTTGAAGACAACCTACAAGAGTTGGAATATTCAGTTAACTACAAAGAAAATTAATAAAAATATATGAATGAAACCTTTGAGATCTGTAGTGCACTATGGAAAAACTGAATCTGTGATTCACGCTATGTCATCTTACCAAGGGATACCTGAATTCACACTTATCCACTCCAGATAGTGCACTACAGACCAAAGAAATGATTTCACCCAAGTCTAGCTTAGTGAACCATTGATTTTACTAGGGTTACAGGAAAATGAATGACTCAAAGGCAGCTGAATCACTGAAAAGCCCATTTGGCATGGGCAATGACTCATGAAAGTTGCATCCCTGGAGCTCCCTAATAACCCACAGGAGTGGAAGAGTCTTTCTCCAGCAGGTGTTACTGCTTGTATGAGAGGGGAGGGGACTTGGGATCTTGTAAGCTTCATCAATTCTGAGTCTTGCAAGCTTCTTCTTCCTTCTCAAATCTTACAAGCTTCCTACCTTCCCTCAAAGAGGGAGTGTTGCAATTAGGAAGAAATTGCTATACAACACAGAGATATAGAGAAGAACAATTTCATTCTAAAGACTTAGAAAACATTTTCAATTAAAAAAATCATAGCAGAACATTTCCCAAATTTAGGTGAAAAGATGTATATCCAGGCAACATTTAGAATACTTAATAGACAAGACCAGCAAGGAGCCTTTCCACATCATGTTAAAATTAAAATAATAAATACACATAACAAAGAAAATACAGTCAAATTTGCAAGCGAGAAACACCAAGCCATATATAATGCATGGGGTGGGGTGGGCTCATCAGAACAAGAGACAATTTCTTCACAGAAGCTTTGTTTTTCAAGCTCTGAAAGAAAACAGCAGCCAACCCAGCTTACTATACTGAACAAAAACTGTCATAATTGAAGGAGCAATAAAAAAAGACAGCAAAGGGAATTGATGACCCTTACGCTAGCTCTACAGAAGATATGTGAAGGAATCTTTTGGGCTAAAAGAAAAGTGAACACATCTATGCTCCAGCAGTAGGTGAGCAAATGAGGAAAATAAAGACACCAAGTACTGCAAATCAACAAAATGATGAGAAACATAATATACATCTTTCAGTGGCAACTCAAGTACTACTGATGTCAGTTCTCCATTCAAACGACACAGAGTAGCAGATTAAAAGCGAGGATCCATCTATTTTTGCCTCCAGGAAATGTACCTCACCTCCAAAGGCAGATGCAACCTTAGGTCAAAAGATGGGAAATATGTTTCAAGCAAATGGAATGAGGAAAAAAAGCAAGTATGACTGTTCTAATATCTAACAACATAGACTTTGAATGAAATGGTCTCTATTTCAAGTCCTGAAGGTTAATAACTGTCAACCAAGATACCTAGCAAAGTTATTGTAATGGAGAAATTTATGGGTAAATAAGAGTATTCAAAGACAAACAAATTAATGCAATAATAACTTAGTGCAGAAAATTCTTAAAG